CCATTGCACTTGCTCACTCTTGTGTGGCGATTATCTTTCGAGCTAAATTGTCGAATTGTAGGTTGCTCCATACTCAGTAGTATCCCACCATCTAAGAGGATGCTTCTAATATTTCTGTAGGGTGATCACTCTCAAGGTGTCCCTCAATCCATGACATTAAGCGGGCTGTACCTATTGGACAACATTTGCAGTTTAAGTTAACGGACTGTGCTTCTGCAGTGCTTCACTGGGTCGAATCAGGGAGTAATGGTGACCTTACCACAGCTCGGGGATCTACCATGGCGGACTAAATATTTCCATTTTCCCCTCGATAGGTCGCTGTACCGGATTTTATCGGTTTCCCTACAGTCGGGCGGTGTTTCCTCTTGGGATTTTCTCTTGAGCAATGACTGGGTGGGTGAGGCTAAGAATTAGATGGCATGAACAAAGCCTCGGATGGCAAATACCTGATTTCACAGGACTTAGGAAATAAGGACTACACGGACGTACCTCGACTGGTAGACTGAGCCCTTCCAGAGAAAGCGTTGACAACTGGCGACGGAGTCTTTACTAAGCACGGGCTGCAGTACTCCCTCGCTCGATCAAAAACTGTTTGCCGCTCAGCCGAAAGAATCCAAACACAGAATTTGTTTTGACTCGGTGGTGGTGGAGCAGCGGGCATAACCAGCTACCCAAAAGTAGGATGAGGGCAAGCGAAATCGGTCCCAGAAAGAAACCGAAACATCTGCCAAAAGACTACTGTAATAGGACCATAGTGTGGTTTCAGCGAGGTGGCGAGTGGCGATATACAGTCCTTATTTGTAGATGCCGTATCTAATAAAGAAAAGCCGGCGTTATTTTCCAACGGAAGCGCTACGTGTCATCTGTTTTAAGCCACCGATTCATGCCTTTATTAAGGAAGGTGCTTCTGAGAGTGCGCTGGGGTTGAGGAAACTGAGCCTATGGAAAGAATGTGCGTACGGGCATGGACGTATCCTGTGCTCATTCAACTGTCCAAGCATTTATGAAAAATCTGACTACATCTGTCCTTCGCTTGTCTTCAAGAAAAATGTCAGCGTAAGGAGTGGAACGACACTGATTTTATTGAACGCTTCGTAGTATCTAATTTTTACGGCGGATGTTTTTTCAACTGAACCCTCCATCCGAATTCTACTGGACTACAAAATTCGATCAATGTTATTCAGGTGGAAGGGGCGCGCAAAATAGCAAGATTTAAAGGTCAAAGAACAGTATTCAAAACAAAGATAACTCCGAAAAAGATCAGTAATTTTGATAATAATCGGGATCCCGAAATTAAAATTTTAAGCCTTTGTAAAATATTAGTAAGCACTTACCAACACCAAAAGGGCGAATACCACGACATCCCGAAATCGTTAGCGAATTTTCGGGATACCGAATAATTTTTACCAAAATCTACATATATTTCGCTAGCTTTCGAAAAGGGTTCCGGAACAGTAAGGTGAAAATAAATTAACTATGAAATAGATGGGAAATCTTGACAATTTTAAGAATCCTATTTCACATTAAAACTTCAAGGAAAATATAGATACATCCGAGAAAGATCACAAATAAATATTTACCAAAAATTACCGGGATCCCGACATGAAGTTTAAGATTTTGTAAAATAAGGAAATAAGTTTTTAGAAACACCAAAAGAGCCAATGTAGCATAAACCCGAAATATGCTCCGAAATTTCGGGATCCCGAAAAATATTTTCAAGCTTTTATATGGATATAAGCATTTAGAAATACCACAAGAGCGAATATAACGTAATCGATCCCGATATTTCGGGATCCCGAAAAAAAATCCTGAAATCACGAAAATTTTACACTACAAAATTTATAGCTCATGAAGTAACTAAGTATATTGTGCTGAGTGAGCACATCTACACTGCCTACATTAAAATATTCAACTGCAACCACCCACTTAATGTCACATAATATTTGTGGATATGTATCACCACTGCGTGTATACTGCCATTTGATATGACTACCTCTTTGCACTTTGTCGCTCCCGCATATAAATAAACACTTTCCCCTTTGGAAATGAACTTTCTTGCTTCCAGGAAATTACCTCAAAACCATACACGCAGCAACACTTACACAAACACATACATAGATAAACGCACACAAACTAAGAATGGAAATGCATATATTCCTAAAAGCAATGACAGAAATGTAACTCGTACAGCAAAAAAAAAGAAGGAAACTGAAATACATAATGTGTGCATAGAACTTTTTATGTTGCCATTCCTAACTTTTCAAATTTCAATTTTCTGTTTTCTGAATGCAATTAAATATTACAAAATCTACTCTACTCGAAATGCGGACGAAAAGAGTTTGGGGACACTGGCAAACTGCAAGTATTTTGCGAATGAGACAAGCTATGAGTTATGTGTACATGCAAATATACTGGACAATGAGTTGTGTAAGCTTGTACATTCAACTGTATGTATTTAGTTAGTAGTTGTATGACCTGCACTCCCACTGTGCCGACTTTTGCAAAGAAATATTCAGTAAACAGAGCGTCACTTGAGAAGCTGCATAATTTTCACTTTACAACTTTTATAACAACAGTTGGACAGGCCGAAAAGGTAAGCGAAAAAATGGTATGCACATTAGGCCATACCGGGGAAAATGCTCGTTTTTAGACTTTGTTAAAAAAAATATTTTTTTTTTTTTTTAATTTTTAAGTATTATTTTCTTCTTTTTTTGATTAATTTTTTTCTTTTCCTATTTTTAATTTTTAGATTTTATTATTTAAAAAAAAAAATTTAATAATTTATTAAAAATATGTATTCTTATTTATTTTTGCTATATTTTAATTTATTTTACTTTTTTAATTTAGCAGAAAAACTTGTGTGCACATTAGACCATACCGGGAAAAATCTGGTTTTTACTTTGTTTAAAATAAATATATATATATGTATATTTTTAATTTTATTTACATAACTTTTAAGATTATTGATTTAATTTTTTTCTATTCCTAACTTAATTTTATTTTTTGTAAAAAGAATTTTATTATTTTAAAAAGAAAATATTTTTTTTTTTAATCATTTAATTAAAAAATTTATTATTTATTTTTGCTTTATTGTAATTTAAATTTTTTTTTCTTTTTTAAACCTAACTTTATTTTATTTAGTAGTCTAAAATATTTTTGCAAGGCAATTTCGAATTTTTTTTTATACATGTTCGTTATATTTTCAGTATTTATAGTCGGAACTTAAAGTATGAAATATCGCTTCTTTTGTCTGCCACCACTGACGTCAGTTAATTGAAGCAGGCTAAAAATGATTAAACTTTTGCTAAGAAAGTACGTATGTACTTCGATTCGAAGGCAATTTCGATTTTTTATTACTTTTTGGTCGGCCAAGTTTTTACCGCCCTACTGTCATTAAATTAAACCTCACCAAAAATCATTTAACTTTTGCTAAGGAAGTATTTCGATTCGAAGGCGATTTCGAATTTTTTTGTTGCTTGCCGAACATCTTTTTACATTTTTCATCATATCTTCGGCCTTTATAGTCGGATCTTGAAGTATGATATGTCGACGTTTTCGTTATGATAGGACAATTTTTGGAAAAATAAAAATATTGACCTCAAGTACCTCGTTCTAGTGCTTATCCACCAAATCTCAGTACTTATCACCCCCAACGTTCACCCTAATGTCATTAAATTAAAGCTCACCGAAAATCATTAAACTTTTGATAAGGAAGTATTGAGGTTAGTCCAGTAAAATTATAAGAAAAAAATAATATTGCTGATTGTATGTAGCTTGTCACCGATAAACAAAAAAAAAGTGACCCCCAAGATTTCGGCAAAAAAAAAATTGCCTTGCTTACTTTAAACTCAGGGGTATACAGCGAAATTTTTACGTTTGCTTGTTAGGAGGCAAGGTCTAATGTATTTACATAAAAGGAGCTCGAACGAGCTACAAAGCAGAAAAAAAGCAGCCGCCTAGCAGTTGGCAAAGGAAAAGTGTGACAAAGTGCACGCGCAAACGCCTCGTTGCGTTGACATTTCTCGAGCGGCTGGCGGCTGGCGGCTGGCAACGCAAATGACAGCGGACACAGGCCAAAGCAAGCTAAAGACATACTTGCCAGTTACTAGCAACGATAGCCAAATTAACAAAGCAAAAGGGGGATGTGGAGGCGGCAACAGCGACAATGCTGCTGCTGGTGCAACAGCAGCAGTGCGAACGAGTGAAGCAAAATATCTTCTGGCAAGCGCACTTTTTATATGCACTACAACGGAAAAATGGAAATTCACGCTAGCAGTAACAAGCAGAGGAAAAGTGAAGAACATAATAAAAATGGCACAGCAGCGCGACGCCAAAATATCAACTTGCAGGAGAAAGGACGAGCAACTGAATGGAGAGTGTAGGTGGTAAGGGCGCGCAGGTATTTCACTGCTTGGCTACTGACTGTTGTGTGTGGCAGCAACTGCTTTGACAAGTAACAGTCGAAAGTTCCGGACTTGGAGTTGTGTGCGTGCGTACGATGCCACCATTCAGTTCGTTGTGTGCCTTCAGCGACCTGTGAGACTGTGCGGGACAGCTCACAAGCTGCATACATAACTGGCAGGCAGGTTAGGCTGGCTGGCTGGCTGGCTGGCTGCTTGGCCGCACCGGACCGTACCCGGTGCTCTGCATGTTGACTTTACTTTCAAGTGTCTTCCTGTTTTATACACATTTTCCGAGCACTTTCTATGGCCGCCGCATACTGCTCGCGCGCCCCTTTCTTTCATTTTATTTCATAAACTTGTTTGTTTTTTTTTAGCTTTGTTTTCCATGCGAACGGACGCCTTTGTTAACCTATTTTCACTTGTTTTTTTGTTTTTTTTTTTTGTTATGCTGCTGCACGCACACCCCCAATGCGGCACTTACAGCACTCGTTGCCCCACTTGACACAGAGTATGCGACAACGATGACTAAGTATATATACATACCCTAACTATATATATATTTTACCAACAAAAAGTTGACTTGGCTTGGCTACTCACCTGGCACCGACCAGCAGACTGTTGCCATCCTTTGTGACAAGCTTAAAATGATCCACGACACTTTCGTTTCCGAGAAATTTCAGCACATCTTCAGGACCTGCAAATACAACGCGCAAAACACGGATGCACGGAACAAAAGGGAAAGTGAAAGAATTAGTATAGAACAAAAATTAGAATAGCAAAGATAAATACAGTATTTAAATATGTATCAGCATAAGGTACGTAGGGTATGTATTCCAGCTGGCATAGTGTGAATGAAAGCATTGTGAAGAGCGTTTTCATTTGGCATACAGCAATGCTTAATTAGGCAATTTAAATTTAACAAAAGCAATGAGTCATCGCAGCCAGCATCACAGCGCCGCGGCAAAGTGTGGTGGAGGCCACAGGCTAGAGAGCACACTGGTAGGCAAGCCAAAGACTGGACTTTTCAGCGCAACGCACAGTGCGGCCAAAATTCAAAAGTGCGGCCAAAATTCTAGGGCTTAAATAATTGATTCGAAATTTCGTACTAGGGGGTTTCCGAAGTCGCTAATTACGAATCCGCTGTCAGAATTGCAAAATTCGACATGGCGGATCCAGTAAGACGTCTTGTAAATTTCGGGCTTTTTAATTCGAATTCTTAGAAAGATTTTGAGTACGCAGTTTTACAGCCCAGTCAATTTTAGTGTGACAAAGTGCAAGTTTGAAGTAGCTGGGACTTACCGTTGATTTTTGAGATTTTTTTTGTTGACAGTGCCAGTTATTTTCTTCCATACGAAGTATGTTCGATGATATGAAGAAAATGAGTAAAACATTCAACAAAAAAAATTTCCAAAAATCAGCCGTATGTCCCAGCTTCTTTAAACTTGCATTTTATTATACTTAAATTTAATGGGCCACAAAACTGCATACTCAAAGTCTTTCTGTGAAATCTAATTAAAAAGCTCGAAATTTTTACATGGAGGTGAAGCTAATATGTATAAGCGTTAAAAAAAATAAATAAAAAAAAATATAAGGAGCAGAGATGACCACCTGAGTTTTGTTTTCTTCTGTAGCTAATACTTTCCTAAGTAAACTCTAACAGGTTTAAAAGCAGCATTCGACAGCATTATGTTGCGAAAAAAATACCCTTGCAGTTTTATTTCTTAAAAATTTCTGTTATAGTATTATTTTTCACAAAATTATTAACGTATTTTACTAACCTTCAGACGTAGAATCCATTTGTTTTTTTTTTTTTTTTTGGTTTCCTATTCTCTAATGTTGTACTTGGGAGAAGGTCACACTAGAAATTAATAAAAAGATAGGACTTAGGGTACAACAGGTCGTCACAGTTAACAGTTTTCGCTTCTTAGGTGCTTCCTTTAGTCAACTCAATGTCAAAAAAGGCCTATCTAGAAACTTTATTTTCTCGAATTTTCACCGCACTTTTGGAATTCGGCCGCACTGTGCAGCGGTACGAAGCGTAGGGTTAGTAGTCGGGCAGCACTTTTGATGCAATGATAATAACGAATGCTGCGCGCGCACAGGAAACAGAGGTACCAACAGAATTGCGTGACAATAGCGCAATTTAATGGCTGAAAAGTCACAAGGTCCTATTCTATAGATATATGGATAGATAGATAGTAGCTAAATACACTGCAGGTGTATGGAAAAACGGATGCGGCTTAAAGTGATGGTATGAATAGAGGAAGCGGCGAGAACGCGGGAGAATGCTTTTTGTTGCTTGTGCTCATTAAACATTGATGAATAGAACAAATGTTGGCGGACGCAGCGCAGCGACGGCATTACTACATACAATTAGACTAACTAATGAGGGGCAGTTTAACTGGAAATAAAATGTTTTAACTTAGTACAAAAGAAATTGAATAAGGTGGCTCTTGAGTTGGCGAATTGAGGTTAAATTTTTAGTTAAAAACTGTTACTAAAAGATTACCCCGCTGCACTGAGAAAAAGGTTAAAATACGTCAACTAAATATATTTAATATATTTCTCTCAAAACAAGATATGTGTAACTACAATAGAACTATCTGTTGATATTCTAACTACCTTTTTTAAAGAAATTACTCCAAAAAGGGTTAAAAAGACACTTAACAGGAGGTGTAAAAAGATAAAATTTCTTAAGAAAAAATCGCTCTCCACATTTTACGTTAAACCACTTGAACACAAAAGTTCGGTGTATAAACCAGCTCTTAATCGCATACGTTTATAATGGGTTTAACCCAAATTTAGATGAAGATTTGATCCACTCGTTTTTTTTTTTTGATCTTCGTTGACCTTAAGTGCAATTTCCTGCCAAAAGTTTTAGCTTTCAGCTTTCTGAAAGACTGTTTTGATGTTATATGCATGGAGACGGTAACGCCGGTAAATATGTTTAACTGTGGATAAGTGCTAACCATAAATGGTGCAAACTGCCATTAATCTTCCTCATCTTGATCTTGATTTTAATTCGAACCTCAATCTCAATCTCAATCCCAATCTTAATTTTAACCTGTTCGTAGCCTTTTCCGAGTTGGATAAGGAAGCAAAGCAATTTGGTCTGGTGGTTAACGAGGACAAGGCGAAGTATCTGCTGTCAAACAATCAGCGCATTCGCGCCTTGGCACCTACGACACTGTTGACAGTTATACTTTCGGGAAAGTGGAGAGAAAGATCTTTCGGAAGATTTACGGGCCTTTACGCGTTGGCGATGGCGAGTACCGCAGACGATGGAACGATGAGCTGTATGAGTTTTACAACGCCATGGGCATAGTGCAGCGAATTAAAATACAGCGGCTCCGTTGACTTGACATTTTCAATTGCCGTCGGTTGGCACACAGATGGGAACCTAGTCAAATAAGAAGAAATTCTTCACTTTCTTTTTTTTTAATTCTCGGTTTACTCTAGAGTTGTTAAAGGAATCTTCCGGTATTTTTTCAATTTTGGGACTTTTTGAGACCGTTCGTGCTTTATATATCGGGAAAATTTAATTAAATAGGCGGTAAGACAATAAATAAAATATCGCTCACCGACGATAGCATATTTTCTCGGATAGCTAGACAGAAAAACAATTCAGTCACTCTCCTCTTTTTCGGTTTCTGATTGATTCGAAGAGAGGTTGAGTTACACAGGGTCGTATAGAATTACCAGACAGATGTGGTACATACTTAGAAATCAGCCAAGAAATACCTTTAAACTGACGACTGTCTGCGTAGGTCTACATAAAAAAAAAACAGTTGAACACTTCCTAGGCGAGTGTACAGTGCAGGCAAGAGTGAGCCGATAAAAAATGTTTATGTCAAAAAATCTTTCTACTTGCAGATGCCTCCATTAAAAACTTTGAGTATGAAGTAAAGGGATAGCAGATGTACGTAGAGCTTCTATTGGCATTTAAATTGTTCTAATCATAATCATTCTTTACTCAACCAATATTTGTTGCAACCAGTGTTGCCAGATATTTAAAAAAAAATAACTGTAAATTTCCGTGGAAAAAAACTGTATTTTCAGCAAAGATTTTCGATGATAAGATTTCAACTAAATTAATACGGGACCACCTATGAGGTAACACCTTTCCTTTAAAAAACGAATTATAAAAATCGGTTAATGTGGTCCAAAGGCATGCGGTAACATACATCAAAAAAAAAAAAAACAAAAAAACTATTCCGACGAATTGATATCTAACCTTTCCCTTTTTTGTGAAGTCGGTTAAAAGAAGAAAATAGTACTTTAAAAAAAAAAAAAAATTTAATATATTTTTAATTTCAAAACAAGACCTAAATATTAAAAAAAATTAATAATTAAGAAAAAAAGGCAAATTGGATCTTAAAACTGAAATGAAAAAAATATATATTTTTCTTTTTGAAACAATAAAATCTAAAAATTAAAAGAAAATGAAATTAACAAAAGAATTTATTTATTGAACTAAAAAAAATAGGTTTGTAAAAATGAAATGAAATTAAAAAATATCTTTCTCTTATAAGCAATAAAATCTAAAAATATAAAGAAAATTTAACAAAAAAAGAACAAAATATTGAAAAACGAACAAAGTATTATAAGTTCCTAAAAATTAAATGAAATTAAATATATGCAATTTTTTTAAATAATAACATCTAAAAAGTAAATTAAGGAAGAAAAAAATTGTATTAAAAAAGAAAAGCTACGTAAAATAAGGGTAAAAAATTATACGAAATTAAAAATATATATTTTTCTTTAAAAAAATACAATCAAAAAATTAAAAGAAAATAAATCAAAAAAGATTGTCTTACGAAAAACCATTTACTACCCGAGTCAGAATTGCCCTGTAAGCTATATTTTGTTTTAATGAAATTCAGTTTGATTATTTTTTGCAAATGGCTTAATTAATTTTATTGAGCACGTGATTCGATACCTCAAATTAAGTATCTCGAGAAGCAGTATTTTTAAAAAATCTTTAGTCCTTAAAATACCAGAGAGTGCTGGAATTTCCTAGTTTTCGGTTTTGTTTTTTGTTCGAGTGAGGAAACGTTTTCCTTCATCGGTAATTTTTTTCTTAAAAATTTACTTACAAAAAACCGATAGAGAAATGTTAATTTATTCGTTCAAATCGCGCAAAATAATTTCTAGTAGGTGGCAATTTAAACAACTGTAAGCTTGTGTAAAAACCTGTAATTTGCAGTTAAAACTTCGAGTCTGGCAACATCCTTCGCATAAACCGAACTCATGTGCTAACTTAATAGCACAGATTTGCAATTTTATTTGGATTTTACTTTTCACTATTTTCATTTTATTGCCAAATGGGCGACATGAAATCGTTTGCATGATTCAACAAATTCAGCTGTTAATTTCCGTCTACTGAATTTTATAACCACAAACATTCCATTACACAAAACCATCTTTAATTTACTATCTTAACCGCGCTAACACCGCTAACTATATACATATAAACGCATGTATGTACGAGTATTATCCATACACACAATGAAATGACTTACGATATCGCAAACGCATGACTTTGGAGAAAGGATACGCTTACGAGCCACCCATATGCATTCGACTTTATGATAAATGCTGCCACTGTATTTATGTATTAATACATATATATACTCAAACTTTCAGTATTCTACGAGGTGACGCCAATCGCCTGGCACGTCGAACTTGCCAAAC